AAAAATACTAAATTTTATGTAAAAATTCATTTTTTCCTCTTAATGCTTGTTCTTTTCCTTCAGGCATTCTGCAAATATATTAAAAAGCATCCAACGTTTCGAAACTTCTTGGTATTTCTGGCATTAATTTTAAGTAAAGCGCCTTCCATTTCAAACGGGCCCACAAACGGCCGAGCGGTAATGTCGCTGAAAACTGGTAGTTCACTCCTGGACTCGAATTCCAGCGAACGGGCTGGTTGCAGAGACGTTTTCGTGGTTTTTCTCACGTGTAACGTGTATACGAGCTGGTTTCCTTTAGAAAGTTCTTCACGAAGGAATCTCTCCTTTTAGGCAGATAGCCCTACTTTGCCGTAACTTAACAATCCATTTCACCAGTATTTAGTCAGAGCAATGTCCTTCGCACTACCTTTCGTGTAGTTCTAAGAAAAGACTATGAAGATTTTGTTTTCAAATTTTTATTAAGAAAAACAATATTTTAGTCTACAAAACCATGTGTTTATCATTTTTTGGGCCGGTGCAAGTATTGGCCCCGCAATACAAAATATTGTGTCTCTGCATCAGTGGCCATCAATCCATAGGTCACAGTGACCAAAAGCTTTAAGTTCAACGGTGCTCTCCTATTTGATATTTTCTTTAATCCCTACCTGCATGATTTTTCACGGACGTAAAAGTTAGAAAAAGAGAAGACATTTTATGTTTTATATGAAAATTAGGAACTTTTTACTAATAGCTACATAAGAAATAGTTGCGTAAAGTATAAAACAAAGTATGAAAAGAAAGTAAAGTGAAGTCTGTCAAAACAACCACCAGCAGTGACAGATAATGTTTTTGTCTTTAAAGTTAGTTGACTTAAAAAGTTGACTAAGTGACGATAACTATCGATGTGTATAATGGGGTTATTCTATTTAAGGAACTTAAAATACATTAAAGGAAAGCACGATGTAGAAATAAGGCACAGTGCTGTAATAATAACATTATATTAGTGAAATTAAGGATAATTTCAAAAGAAAGTGCGAATACTTATTAAAATATCCATCCAATAGAAATTATCACTTTTCCTCTTCAGTCATTTTTTTCCTGTTATAGAGTATGAACTCTATGAAAAAATACATTTACCATTATCATTTATTACCTATCGTTTATCATACTGATAATGAGAAGGTTCACTGTAGTTTCTTACTTGCTGCTACGTAAAATGTCTTCTCATTGGATCAGTTTCTGTGTTAAGATATACCTAGAAGTTATACCGTGGTCTCTTTAACGGCCCTTCTGCTCAATTTCCACGTATGACGTTTAAATTAGTTGCTTTATCAAAAAACTGTTCATCACAAAAGAATGCTAGGTATTCTTTAATTTAGTTCTAGGAAGAATATTAATATTTCTGATTCTTTCTAGTTAAAAATCCTCTTTAGTGTCACACATTCCATTTCGGTTCTAGGGATTGGACAGGAGTTCATAATGTAAGGTAAAGAACGTGAGCGGTGTGTCTAAGAAACATCTTCATAGCAATGCTCAGTCATAAATATGCCGGCGGGCCTAATTCTCAAGTGCTAAATACTTGAAAAACCTGTTAGCATTTTATTTCGCAGTTTCTAGTATACATTTGTCAGGGGTGTATTGTGCCTTTTCCTAAAATGTATACTACTAAACATAAAATTTCAAAAACATCTGTATTAATGAATGGGGTTGATACATAACAACTAAGCATTGAATATGCATTACGCATTTTAATACTTAATTGTTATGTATTTTTATACTAACAAGTAAATAAAATTATAAAGCATGAATAATAAAATTTTAAAACTCACCAGTTTTAGGTACTTTTGAGTATTATAAAATCTATTTATGTTTGTATAAACAATTTACATTGAAGATATACATTTTATTTGATTTATGGAAATAACAGCATATAACTGAGGCCAAAGATACCATCAAAAGTCTATAAACAACATTTAGATTACATTAGTTACAATTAAAATTATTTGAATGTGAATTATGTCCATCTACTTTGAATAGCAAATTTCTTTATAACATCTTCATAAAAACAGGGGCCATGCTTAATCTCTCAAAAGAAGCTCTATCTCAATTGATAATATACTAAATGCATTTTTCTTGCAGAAGCGTTACTCAAATACAGTTATTAATTCATCTTAATACTGAAAATGGTTGTAACGGTCTAAATATCCTATCTGATTTTCTCTTGGCTTTCAATTAATATCTTGATTTCCGATAAAAGCAGCATTCGTTTCACCACCAATATTCAGCGTTAGTCTAGTCTGTTTTCTGTATGTTAGTAGCAGTACGATTTGTAAATGCGTTTAGTTGCTATTTTTTGCTATCTAGATGCATACAGTTGCTTTGTAAAATCAAAAGAAGCCCAAAAGCAAATTACGCATAATGATCTAATAATAAATAAATTTAATTAATAAATAATTAATTGATAATTAATTATAAAGACATATATGTATTTATTAAATTATAATAATTATAATTAGTAATTTTAAACTTATAAACTAAGTTTAATTGATTATGTATAGTTAAATTTCAGATCATTTCGCGACCGAGCAAATATTATTTCGTAACCCCTTTCTCTGTTTTGACCTATATTTTAGGACCGTTAACTTTAATCTCAAACCATTTATATAGTCTGCATTTTCAGGAGGACAGAAAAGTCATTTAGGAAAGCAATTTTTATAAAGAGAAACACATGCAAGATATATTTTGGAACCGCAAACAATGCATCAACAATAAAATTGTTTTACAAACGAAAGAATAATGTTGTAAATAATTAAATAAATTGTATTGCAAATTCACTAATGTTGTAAATAATTAAATAAATTGTATTGCAAATTCACTAATATTGTAAATAATTAAGTGGGCTCATACACCTTAAACCCCTTATGAGCTTCGAATTATGCGACTGTTGCAAGAATTGAGATATTTTATTTATTTTAAAAGTAATTATCTCCAACCTTTTACAGCTGACTGCATAATATAGTGCTTTGGAAAACTAGTAACGGAAAGTTTGTTTGCCACAAATATTTTTGTAATTAAGCCGCTTTGTGACAAAAGTTTCATCATTTTCCACCTTGCGGTGATATTTTAAAATGGCTAATGGTACATACTTGAAATTGATGGAATTCTTTATATGGGCACTATTTTCTAACTCAACCAAAAATCTGATGATATTTTAATATTAAAAAATTTTATGCACGAAAACATTACATATTTTTAATAAAATACATTTTATAAACCAACTTCAAATAAAATAACATTAACATGAAATTCTCAGTTCTTTGGTTTAAAGTAGTTCCAAATGTTGTAAAAGCTATATATAAACTCGGAATTAAATATGCAACAGATAATTTAAACTGTGCGCGCAAGGTGAAAACATGACGAAAATTTTTGTGACAAAGCGGATTAAATTATAAAAATATTTGTGGCAACACAAACTTTCTGATTACGATTTCAGAAAGCAGTTATATTATCTAGTCAGCCATAAAATGTTGGAAGTAATTGTTTTTAAAATAAATAAGTTATTCCAATTCTTGCAACAGTCACATATCAGTAGATCATAAGGGATTTAAGGTGTATGAGCCCCCTTAAATAAATACATGCAAACATACTAAATAAAATTAAGTAATGAGTGGATTAAAATCACATACTTATTTTAGCTGAGAATATCTGCAAAATATGCTCAATTTTGTAGCTCACAATAAGGGGAAAATGTAATAGGAATTAAGTGCTATCGGTTCGGGTAGAAGCATGTTTTTTTCGTATTACAAATGAAGAAATTTTAAACTACTTATCGTGGGTTATTGTATTCGATAGAGGCTTCTTCTCTCATATTGTTGACCAAGCAGTTATTAATTTCTCAATTTCAGTAAGTTATTAATTTCTCAATTTAGTAAGAATAAAGCACAATTTAGTAAGAATAAAGCATTCTCCTTCCACTATCAACAACAATACGTTAGTTGTGTTTCCTACATTCTGTTTGAGACGATCATGATCATCTTGGAGAGGTATATTGTCTTAAACAGATAGATTACCAGAAGATTTTGCTGTAATTTTTGTAAACTGTGAGTTAATGAATTTATTAACTTGAACTATTAAAGCACTTCTTTTATTCCACTCACATAAAATTAAAACTCATATGTAGTACAGAAGAGTGAACTTTACTAGAGCATCCCCAAATGAAAAGTAATTGAAAATCTTCCGCAATTACGAAGGAATCTGTAGCCGATTAATGCAGTAAAATATTTAAGTTAGAAAAATTTAAATCTTATGTAAAGAAGAATCGGAATAAAAGTTCAAAGAGTGTGCACTATTAACATAAACTCTTTTTTATAGGGAAAGATTTACCGAAATTTTATTGCTGATTTATTGCCTAGAGATAATAATTGGTCATTTAACAGTACATAAAAATATATGTATGTCTTAGTTTCTGATCTATTCATTTTAATAATTTAATTAATTATTAAATTATGTAATTAATTTTTTCTCTTAATACGTTCACCCACTTAAAACATTTCAGTGTCAGGAAAGCATTTAATCGTAATTCTGTTGTTTTTAATAAGGCTCGGAATAGTCTTTTTTTGAATACTTTTTGTAGAACCAAACCCAAAGTTTCTGAAAAAACGAGAAATAAAAACAAAATATAGAAAAGAATAATATATTCTAAAAGAAGTGCAAGAACAATAGCTAGGCTTAAGCGTTAATTAAAGCACACATAGCAGGGGTTAAATTTTAATCAAATCTACTTTAATTAAATCGTAACGCTGTTTTTAATTTTCTTTTATTCTGGTACCTTTGTCTCGAAATGCTTAGAAAAAATTTTTGAATTTAGATACTTAAAATATATAGTTATCGAGTAAAGGTAGGTACTCTTACAATTTCTTTCAAAACGCAATGAATATTTTGGATCCGTTATATTACCGCAAAGCACGAATCATACGTTCAGTTAGGAAAAGCCAACAAGAAAGCTCACATAAAAGTATACTGTTCATTTAAATTTATTTCGGCTATAATCATTAACAACAATAAAATTTATTCTGTTGCAAATCAATGAAGCTCTGAGTGATTCATGTTCGTTAAAAATGCCTTTTCTTGAAATGTTAAAGTCACATTTTCCCCTGTAACAGTAAAAGAAATACAGTTAGCTTTAAAAGGGGCTAAATACGCATAAGGACTAAGAAATTAAACCTAAAAATTACTTCTCGAGTTTAAATAAATATGACTGAATAATAATGGATAAGAATAGCAAGAGAATCATAATAAGTTTTAATTTTTTGTCTTATTTAACACTGTAGACTTTGGTAGATTTTCCAAGGAAAGTTGATTTATGTTTATAGAACTGAAGGAATAAAATAATAAATATCTTCCTTAAGAGTCTACTAAAGCAGCCTGCATTGTCTTAATTAAACTTTTTTATTTAAATTTAACCGACGTTAAATCGTGAAAAACTTTGTGAGGCATTGCGAAATGCACCAGTTTATCAAATTAAGCTATTTGTAAACAAAAAAGTATTTTATAATTAATTAAAATTTATTTTATTTTTAATAAGCTAGTTAATAAGTATAATTTGTAATGCATATTTTATAAAGTGTCTCTCTAAATTTGTTTCTGAATAAATATAGCAATATTATGTTTAATAAGGCATGCTTCGAAAGCTGTATGTTATTTATTTGGGTATAGAATCAGTTTTATAACTGTTATTTAAGCAGATCCAAAGATTATCTTTATTAATGACCACACAGTTTTTGTAACAAAACCCCTTTTTTCTCATTACTTTATGATTCTCAAGCACTCTGTTAACTTACGGTTTGATTGTAGTTCCCTTATAATTAATTCTTTAACAACTAAAATTTCATTTGTAGGGTATTTTACGTAAATTAGCTAATTACTAAACTTCTTCATTTTCGTAGTTTTTACCAGAACGTAAATTAGTTAACTGAGTGCTTAAATCAGGTGTTTTTAATGTTTTAGGTTTAAGAGATTTTGGGAGCATTGCTCGCAGTTTACGTTTGATTGATCAGCTCTGCTTGTGAATATTCGGGCTTTAGCCATTTTTACTAACCGACTTTAGAACGTGCCATTGAAATATTGAGTCAGCTTAACTGAACCATTTCGTGTAGTTTCTGACTACGATAACTTTGAATTTGAATTTAATACTTATATTATTTTGAAGGTACTTTTTCGTTAAGCACTGCCACGCTTTTTGGCGCCTGTGAAAGAGAAAACAAACGCATGCGGAGACCCAATGATAGCGCCATCTGAGTACCGAATCATTTGTGTGTCTGTGTGTTTAATTAAACACATTTGATTGTGTTTTTTCAGTTAAAAAACACACCAAAAAGCGTGTCAGGTGTGTAACGGAAGGGTACCATTTTAAATACCTACATGATGACGAGTTTATTTGTAAGCACGATTGTGCCTCTCTGTTCAGTTAAGAAGATAATGGACTCTGAAATAATTAAAAATAAGCCAAAATTTCGATTTTTTTTAAGCTTATAATATTTACCGTACTTAATTGTATCGTATGCAAAAACCCATATTCAAATATTTTAATTTTTACAGAACTATAAGCATTCGAAATGCGTGAACAATAATCCCTTCAAATTTCGTAGAAAATGTCTAACAAGTATATGTTAACCGCTATTTATTGGTGTTATAATTTATATATGTAATTCTATATTATTTTGGCTAGGATTGTCAGTATTACTAACTGTTAATGAATTTAAATTTGTAGGGTTAATGCTATAAGCATAGCTCGCTCTTCTTAATCACTAAAGAAAAGTTACTCTAAAAATTAGGTTGGAAAAAGTTAGTTATAAAGTTAATTAGTTAGGAATAAAAGTTAGAATAAATTAGAATAAAAGTTAGAATAAAAGTTAGTTAGGAAAAATACTGTGAAACACTAGAAGATTAATTTAATGCTACAAATAAAGGTAAAAGGCATAGCGCGGGTTAATTTTCACGTTTTCAACAGATATAACCAATAAAGTAGATTTATTCTATTATATTTTCCATATATATCTCTATAAAGCAAATTATGACAACATATTTATTTCCATTATATTTATATAACAAGGCCGAAAACTTACGAATGAGAAGAAAATATTTAATATTTACAAATTTCTAATATAATTTGATGTTTATCTTGGACGTTCAATAAAGGTAAGTCTGAGGGTAAACGTTAAATTTTTTCGCAATTCGAATGTCTTGAAAAAGCTCCATACGACTAACTCTTTGCTACATACGAATAACGTTTGGAAGAAACTATCCTGTTGTATTGTACAGTATAGGTGTGTACGCATTTTTTAATATAATTGCATTACGAAATTTAAACTTCGGATAACTTCAAAAAACAAAGAATTTTTTTTTTTTAAACTGGAATGGAATTCACATAAATAATTTTTAAAAATTCGCTATTTGTTAGATTCAAAAACGAATATCAAGCACTTTTGTCAAAGTGTTTTAAAAATTTAATGAAAATGTTAAAATAAATCATCAAAAATTAGAACGCAAGGAGCATCTTAAACTTTCATTCAAAATTTCATTTTTGTTTTAAGAAAATTAAATTTTTAAAAGTTTGAAATTTTTAGCATATATTTGCAAAATGTTGTTATAAAAGATATATGTTTAAAATTTTTTGTTTCAAAAGCAAAATCTTAAACACAAAAATCTTAAAGTCCACTGTGCCTAATAAATAGAGGTAATAAAAAATTATTAAATTTTTTTTAACCTTTGTAAGACTTTGTCTTGCTATTTTTAAACGGAGCGGTAATTCTCTTCTCAGTCTAATAAGGTAAGAGGGGCTTTGATTCACTTTCTTATACATTACGCGTTTTTTATTAAAACTCAATGAAATATTATACAGTTTTCTAATGCAAAGTAATCTTTTATAAACTTGTAGAAAATATTTAGATTTTTTTCCTTGAGGGCGGTTATCACTTACCTGCGAATCACCTTCAGAAGCATTACAGAGCTTTTCATAAATTTGATTGTAGCTTACCGCTTTTAATCGAGACAACTTGTACACGAAATGTCTGTATTCGCACTTGTTCAAGGCGATCTTGACGCTACCAAGAAAAGAGGAAAAATTAACTTGTAGTCTGAATGCTTCACAGTCTAACACCTCGAAAAAGGATTTAATAAAATTTTTCCAAAAATTTATTATGAAACTATTAAAATCATACAAACATTTCTCTTCTTAAATTAAAATAGCATCTACTGTTGTCAATTTCTAAAATCAAATCTCAGTTGAAAATTTTAATTTTAACAATGCTTTAGAATATGTTTTTTTTTCATTTATTTTTAAAACGTAAAATGATATTAACAATCAAATATCAAGATATCGAAAAGGTTATATGATCTTTTGAGCCCAATGAGGCTGAGAAATAAATATAGACAGAAATTTTACTGTTAATGAGTTGCTAAAATATTTGATGGTAAGCATTAGCTTCCGAAAGACTTGAAAGGTTCTCGAAGCTAAAACGTGACAAATCAACCATTTCTTCACTGCTGTTAAAACCAGGGATCTTCCAAATGCTAGCTGCACGTGCTAACCACTAGGATCACGAAAATGCAAAAAGTCCTTAAAGATTTTATTTTAGATTGTATGAATTTTATTATAGGCTGCAAGTGTGGGTAGGAGTTAAAAATCTGAGACATGTACGTGTGCATATTACAATGTTACGAAATGGATTTTATTGATCACACTTAATTTAGGAAAAAAATTCTGCCACCTTCTAATGTATCCGATTTCGAGCTGAATGTAAATTTTAAGAAAAGAAGTCAAGTTACAATATGAGAAGGTCTTTTCAGAATTATAATATAAGGAATACCATTTATTCATGAAATTTTGGGGAATGTTAAAATTTCAGGGCCAACGCCGTAACGCTCGGAGGGCTAAATGACTTAATGATTCATGTTTTCGTAATTTCTAGTAAAAAAATTAATTTAATATTGATATTAAATTTATTTATAATTTGTATAAAATACAAAATCTAACTTTTTACACGTTTTTCGGGTCTCTATACTTAAATTTAGGAAAATGTTGTATTGGTTAAAAAAATTTAAAACAGGGTACGTTTGACTCTCGCACGATAAAAATTGACCCAAGTATTTAATTTCAAAATTTGCAATATTTGGGGTAGTTTTAAAATTGCTTTAAGAGGTCTGTTAATAAATAAGTTATGATAATCCGCGTTTGCCATTCAATTATATTTTTTTGCTATTTACTTTCTTTATTTATGATTTCGTTGCAATGTTTGTAATACCGAAAGAATTTTCCCACACGTAAGTTACGTTATCAAACTCTAAAAATATGTTATTAATATTCTCGTGAAGATTTATTACTTCAGAATCAAAATCAGACAATAGTAAGAAGTTCATTAAAGAACTAATATTTTTCCTTTATAATTTATGTAAATAATATTACAAGTTGCTTACGAACCATTACTGGCCCACCAGCGGCCGAGCGGTAAAGTCGCTGAACACTGGTAGTTCGGTCCGAGGTTCGAATCCCGCGAACGGGCTGGCTGCATGGGTGTTTTCGTGGTTTTCCCCATGTGTAACGTGTATACGAGCCAGTTTCCCTTAGAAAGGCCTCCACGAAGGCATCCCTCCCCTTAGGCAGATAGCCCTCGAGGCTTTGCCGTAATTAAATAACCTAACCTAACGAACCATTACTGAAATGTGCCAGTCTTTTCTAGAACATGTATTCTCTGAGAAATTGAGAATAATCTCGATTTTGGAAAAAAATATATTTATCAATATTTTTCACAATTATCTGCACATAGTTAGTTGCTCTCATGTTATGAAAACTTCAGAAATATTTCATTAAACGATATTTTATTTTTAGTTTAAATAAAAATGCAAACATTTCGCCCTTCAATTTATGCACGTCCCCTGAATATATTTTCCGACTTTTATAATACATATCTCAGGTAGTTTTTGTCGCACGGGAATCAAACGTTTTGTACTTTATTTTTTTTATAACGAGTACAAAATTCTCCTAAATAAAGTGAGTGAAGGGAAAAATTAGATTTTCTATTTTATATAAAATTATCTTTTTTAGATTTAAAAACATGAAAATATGCATCTTTGCATCATTTAAAACATTTTTGTAATTGGAAGTATATATTTTATGTTCAACGATTGTAAAAATAAAGCTTGTAAAGACTTTTGTGGACGGTGCATATCTTGAGTAATTCAGGAAACCTTTTTGCTTCTGAAAAAGAGTGACATCTGACTGAACTCAAAATCGATAGTTTTATTCAAAATTCATGCCTATTTAAGCTTTATTTTTGCCAAATTTTAAATCTGAACAAAAATTTATCAATGGGTATTTGGACAAGACATGAACATAGCTTATGTTGTAAACATAGAAAAGCATTTGCTTTGTTTGTTGAGCAGGAATCATGAAAAATGAAACCATTCTTTTTCCAGAAATCAAAAGCGAAATATTTTTGCATTTTTGAATGGATGGGCTGACATCTGCACAACATTACGCATAGAGTGAATTTCTTCGAATCCTTAAAATAGAAAGGTAACTAGAGGCAAAATTAACCTTACTTCAGTGCGTGTAATGTGAATTCGAAGTAGCTTTCCGCAGAAGAATCAACAAAAGGGCATAGATTCTATTTAAGAAGATGACCCTTGTGTGCTTTGATGTATTTAGTGAAATGATCACGTAAACGAGTATTTCTTCAAACCTTACAGTGGTGGAATATATCAGTGGAATCTCTGGGTTTATCTAAAACTACAGGATTACTGATAAAAAACTGCTAGTCCTTATATACATTATATGTTGCCTTATGTCGATGTTTTCTCAGAAATACTAAGAGTTCCATGTAGTTGCTTTATACTAAATTTGAAAAGTAGTTTTATTCTTTCTAATTATGTTATGCAAGTATGATCATTAATATGGTATGTGATATAATCAGAATAGTGCTTTTCTTATGAGGCAATGGTATTTTACATAATAACCTTTTATATACATAACAAATTTGGTGTTCATCCTCACCCCGCTGCACATCGGAAGGTATTTTTAGCTTCTTCAGCCGTTAGCAGATCTCCTACTACACCAGCATCTTTCAACCATTCCGTACTTCTTCTGGATGACATTAGATCGCCCGTCATTCGTCCTTTGCTGGCGTATCTGCAAGGAAAGCACACTTTACAAAACTGAATCTTCTTTAGTACGTTAGAAACTCAGTTTTCAATCCAGCAGGAAGACATGAACAGGGTATTCGTAACCACTGTAAAAATAGCTCCATTAGACTTACCTTCTGAATGTCTCATCGAACTTTACCCTTAGCTCCTTCGGCGAGAATGCTCTGTGTGACGGCGGAGGATCAGAAAGAGACATGACACTTCCATTCCTTGTAACATCATCGTGCCTTCCAGCTTTCAGGTGGACCCGATCCTTCGTAAGTCTGTACTGGTCAGTCTCTTTCTCCGTCAAAAGCTTTGACACGGCAGGAAATTTAGAAGATAGTCGTGTGTTTCTGTGAAACCGCATTTCTGGAGAACGCGTGTAGAATTTTACTGGGTACTTTGGAGATCGGATGTCTTTACTTGTGCTTAATATCTTCTTTCGTCGTGGTGTTAAATTCAACGAATGACAGGGTTGATCTACAATCTTTCTGCTTCTATAATGCAGATTTCGATTAATTGAACATTCATTTTTGTTTTTATCTTTATTGGAATCCTCTTCTACCAGAGAAGGAACAGATATGGATTCTTTTGTTTTACTTTTGATGGTTATTTCCACTGTGGGAATGGGTTCGGAGAGCACATTTGGATACGGTGCGGACGGGCGTATTCCACATTTGTCTATTTCTTCCATTTCCTTTCCATTTGATAATATTTCAAAGCTGTTTATGTTATTAGGATCCGCACGACTATTCATGGTAAATTCAAAACTCTTCGCAGACTGGATTGGAATCAAGCGAGTACTGGTATCGAAGCATGATGTCGCTTCGGATTTGTAGCGATTGAAAATGCTTATGTATGCTTCGTGAGTTGCTTCAAAGCTTTGCAAATCAAATGATGGTGATCTGTTTGTTCTCTGGTTTGATTGGAAAGGAGTGTTGATGTTCTCTGCTCTGTTGTAGCTTAGCAACTTCAAGCTGATTGTCTGAGTAGTTTTCTCTTCCTCGGGTTTTGCGTTAATAGAATTTATGCTTTTCTTGGGTGTTTCAATAATTATTAAGCTCTTTGTTATATGATTACCTGATTCTTTTTCCCCAATTCTTGTTCTTGGGATGATTTGTATATGTTCCTGTCTCTCTTCAATTGTCTTCTGCATTTGCAAACTTTCCGTTAAGTTTGAATTTGAGGTATTCCTTACCTGCTTCAAGCAGCCTTCGCCCTTTTCTGAAATTGTATCTGCAGTCATCTCGTCTGCGATCTTCCTCAAAGGCTCATTCACATCTCCTCCATCAGAATATATACTACCTGTGCTAGATGAGAGAGAAGTCAAGGCACCCCTCGATTTCGTCTTGGTAGTTTGAATGGATCTTTTTTCATTTTCCACTTGGCTCTTCCACTTAAGACTATGAACCTTAACCAGGTCACACGGATTTACTTCCCAGGTTGCAGCGTTGTTTTTCTGTCTTAAGTCTGGCTTGCTGAAAGTTTCAACACTTGAAACTTCAGATGCTTCAGTAACAGAAGTTCGAGCTCTGCATGAAAGGATGGGTTCAAACTCACGGTCAATTTCAGTCTGTGTGGGACAATTCGTAATTTCCCATCCGAACATAGCTATTTCAGGAACAATTCCCTTGACATTTGTTGTGCTAGAGCTTGTGAAGCTCTCTACAGGTTTTGTTAAAATAGATAATGAATTGAATGTATCCAACATTTCTGCTTTCCTTCTTTGATTTTGATTGGTTCGAAAATCTGGGATATTTTCGTTTGAAATTCTGCATCGAGTGTCAGAGCACGTAGATAAATCATGATGTGTTACAGTAACAGTCTCAGTAACAGAAATTTCTTCTAGACTGTGAGGCGAACTCTCCTCTAGTCGATGAACATTCTCTACTGCGTCACTGATACCGCATCTTATGTGATGTGTATTTTCCTCAGAATCACTAGAAGAATTCTTTGGCAATGCCAAATATCCAGATGACCGAAAAGGAGTAAGATTGTTTGGTAACCTCAGTTCTGTAGGTGCATCAGGAAGAACATAATTCTTTAGTCCTCTGGGTACAAGAGAAGATGATCCGTCTGGCAGTGCTGTTGGTGCAGCAGAAGAAAATGCATTTTTTGACATTTCAGGTGCATCCAAATGAGAATGATCTTTTTGCCATCTTCCTGATGTATCCAAAAGAGTAACTTTCTTCGACAACAATCCTCCATCTGCATACAAAGAGGTACTTTTCTTTGACAACTCTTCTCTCGAAAATAAAGAGGAACATTTTTCTGGCAGTTCTTTCTGGTTCTTTATAAGTAATTCTTGATCACATTGTTTTGAGCTCTTATCTAGTGTATCCGAAAAGATTACAGCTGACATCTCGTTGTCAGACTCGAAAATACTTTGTAAGAGCTCGCTCAGGCTGATGCCAGAAGACGTACTTGATAGACATTCAGAATTTGGGCTCAATATTTCATCTCCATTCTCCTTTTCCTTGCAATTATCGTTCATAATGTTCTCATCTGAACAGGTGTTTTGTCGGAAAATATGTTTCTCTTGTGGATTATGTCCTCCCTCTCTACACTCCACAACATCAATACTTTTTCTGTTGCTATGACCATTTATGGTGTCATTCAAGATAATGTCCACTAATCGTTTTGTAGCCAGCCTACTTTCTGAGATAGATTCGTCAATCAAAGCAGAATATTGCGGAGCTGTTTCTTCCAATACAGTTACTGAATTATTACCAGAGCTTTCATTAATGCTTTCTAGTACCGAAGAATCATCAAGTGCCGTGATATCACCACTGCTTTCTTCAGATCCATTTGTTCCAGAAGGAATTTCGTCTTTGTTCAACAGGTTTTTATTGATTACAGTATTTGACGAATTATTGTTTTCGTTTGTAATAATATTAGTGGATTTGTCTTCTGGGCGTGCACTTTCAACAGATGTAAAGTTCTGTGATGTGAGATATTCATGTTCGTCGCCTATGCTGGAAATAGTATCGGGCGTATCATGGATTCTCAAGCACTCGTCTCCCATTTCTGACAAAGTGTCCTTGTAAGTTTGTACGTAGTAATATGATAATTTTCTCTTTACTTTTCTTTTTCTTTTTAATTTAAAGCATTTCAGGGTAAAAGGCATATCTAGGAGGAAAATATTCAGTTACTAGAGGCCCAAAATTAAAGGAACAAAATACATCTGAAACCTTTCGATTGAAATTTAACGTCTTAAATAAAAGTTTACCAATAAAATTTTTTTTAAATGCTTAAAGGAATCAAACAATAAAAAAATCATAAAAAAGTTGCTGTCGGAAGTTGCTGTTTATTATTTTTATTTTTAGCTAATATATTAACATAAAAAATGCTAATCCTTAAAGTTCATCTTTAGAGATTCACCCTTATCGTCCCACTAATGTATGAAAGGCTAGGTGATCAACAGATTAGTCATTTATACTACCGCATTGTCAATTATTGCAAGACTCGGTACACTTTAAAAAAATAATAAGCGAATAACAATTAAGAAATAATTCTCTTTTTGAAATGTAATAATAAATATAGTATTTCGACACCTGCCTAGATATAAATGAATAGGAGAGGACGAAGCGGGCTTGATACCGGAATTCCATCTCTGGTTGTATAAGCATAGTAACACCCCACTAAATATGTAGCTTTGTCCCAGTTAGGATGGAAACTCTAGGCCTCGATGACAGAACTAAGTTCTCACGTCGTTTTCCCTACTACGCCCTCCAGGACTTTCTGCTGATCAGTATTTTATGTAACCTTATGCTGCACAGACATTATACATTTACAAAATCCCCATCTTCTTCAGGATTCAAACCCGGACCCAACGAGACAGCAGCTAGTATTGCTAACCATTCTACCGTTCAGACTACCAATAGAACCTGGACAGAAAGGTGAAAGAAAATAGGTTTGTTTATGGATTTCCGGGGCAATAAACATGTATAAACAAATAAATCTATTCTATAGCTTCTGCATCCAGCCCCGACAAGTCGTATAGCTAATTAAAAATAATTAACCTAAATGCAAATATGTCGTCCATGTTTAGCTAGTGTTCCTAAAATGGAAAAGAACTATATACATAATTTATTTTCTGTTTTAAATCATCAATAGATTGATTGACAATCGAAATTCCACAGTAAATTTTACGACCGTCGTCATAACTACTATTAAAAGTTGCAGGTAATGGAAATTTCATAACTTCATTCATCATCATTCCAAATACGACACTGGATAACGAATGTCCATTGTTAACACGGTACTTTGTACAGTACAGATAAAAATCATTAATAATTTTGAAAGCTGGTTATACTGTAGCTTTTTAGTTCCATATATATAGGAGCACATTTATTACATACAGTAAAAGTGTGCAATTTAAAATAAATTCTGTAACCGTAATATAATAAGTATGAAATTTCTTCAATTTTTCCTAAATTGATTTAATTTTTGGCCAAATATACAATAGCCGCTCTGTTTGCCCAGTTACTGCAATCATGGACCCACTTTCGATCCCAGAGAAGGCATGAATGTTTGTAAAAGTACTTTATGGCAGTGTCACTTAAAATGTTCATGAGACAGGACATCTCTGAGTGGCTGATAATAGCGGTAAAGAGATGGAAGAGCATCGGATCCGTCTTCTGTGATGTTCTTCTTCAGAACTCTAATGTAGCTTATATGTAGGAATCTGTATTGCACGTTTTCCATATACTTTTTGGTCATTGCGGTAGTCAAAAGGTACAGTACAAAATTTTATTTTAGGTTTTTTTTTTTTTTTTTTTTTTTTTTTTTTTTGGAACAGCCGGCTACTTTGCTGGTTAAGCAGTTCTCTGGAATAGCCGCACCTTTCCTTCGTTCAGTCGTCCCATTACCGAGAACTAGTGTGCCCCCTTCAGTGCCGCCTGCTCAGTATTCTCGGTGATGAGACGACTAAATGACGGAAAGGTTCGGCCATTTCCGAAAAACGCTTAACCAAAAAAGGGTTCGGCTGTTACCAAAAAAGTCTAAAATAAAATGATGTATCGTACTTCTTGACTATCGCAATACCCAGAAAGGATGTATAAAATGCACTACAGGTTCCTGAATGTAATAAGACAGTTCTTTATTATTTAAGAATTCTGTATATAAAACAACACTGTGTAATATGCCTTTTAATGTTACCGTTCATAATCAAAATTTCAAGGTAATTATTTCCTTTGTGCCATTTTATATGAAGGAGCAGTCAGCTTTTAAAACAGTTTTCTAGCATTTTATTCTGGATATGATGATAAAATAATCATTTTTTTTTTCTTAACATGGCTACTTTTAAATTACGAATTTTTAAACTTGTTTTAATAGTTAGAATAATTTATTTATTTATTTAATTGTTATTTTTTTTGGGGGGAGTGATTTATTTTGTCTCAAATGATGACGGATAGCGAATATCGAACGGTTAAGAAAAGAAAGCTATTAGAGCTTTACTGTGCTTCACTACCTGCTTCTATAGAACAGGGGTTTAAAAACAACTGATTTCAGAGGAAACGTCCATAAACTATTATTGATTCCGAATATATATTTTAGTGGAATTTTTTTTATTTATTATTACGTGCTGTGTCATTAGGCACTGCACGGAAAAGGAAGGTTGCCGCCTGAGAACTTTAAAAGGAAAACTGGATCGTATTTACGTCACATATAGGGAAAAGTCGGAAACGCCCAGTCAACCCTTTCGTCGGCACTCGGAACCTCTGACGGAACTTTTTACCGCTCAACCGCTGGTGGGCTTATGTTAGTGAGCTTGTAACACGTTTTCAGTTTCTGGCCTTAGAAACCATGCCAAAAAAACTGGAAATTCAACATGGACATTACTCTGGGATTATATGGGGATATCTTGTAAAACAAATTCTTTATGAAAAAAGGTTTCAGAATATGAGTTTGAATGAATTTATTTTAGTGGCTGAATACTACTAGGCATGAACTAAATTAGCTTGTTTAAATTTAGAACATTCCGTTATTCGTCTTAATATGTGTATATATATATATACACACACACACACACACATATATATATACACGTATTCTTAATATATATAGATTACTTTTTAAGATGGTTATGGGACGCAAAATGCAAGAACATTGGATGATATTTATCTTTTAATTCAAGGGGCTAAAGGATTAAAATAATATATATATCTTTTGCTTGCCTTATATGCGTTATCAATCAACACAATTGACATTTAAATGATTCACTTAAATTTCTCTTACAAAGTTCAGAAAGAACTTACTTTGATTCCTAAGATCTTTTATATAATTTTTTTTAGAATTTACATTGAAATAAAATTTATTTAAATCACTATTTCGCCTCAAAACTATAAAATTTTGATACGATCATTTGAAATCTCTTTAGTAAAACGGAGTCATCGAACTCAATTTTGAACCAAAACAAAAATCAGATTGTTGCCATTGGAGGAAATGAAATTTGTCTTTCTGTTTTTAATCGAGTTGAGTGATCTATTCTTTATTCCAGCTGTTTATTAACGGTTTGGTTTGTGAATAATTTTGTATAGATGAATTTTAAAATAAACCATAAAAATCTTAATGAAAATAGATTTTCTTTTTCAATAAAAATTTTTAAAAATGTGCGCTCTTCTAGACTTTTGAAAAATCAGTTTGGATGAAAAAGAACGCACATATTTTTATATTCTGATATAAAAGCAATGCGAAATTACAATGAGAAAAATTTTTTAACTTTCTGGAAAGTTACTGCCTACTTTAGATTTTTAAAAAATAATATCAGACTTAGCAATTTTTAGCAATTTAGCAATCTTGCTTTTAAGCAAGAAGAAAGGAGATGAGGACTTTGGCGAACGCCGTTTCCTCCAGTCCGTGAAGGAAAATCATCATCAAGCTAAAAATTACTGTAACTCTTCTATTATTAAACATTTTAATTTATCTCATTTTACAATTATTCAGAGTCAAAAGCGGAAAGAAGTAAGGTATATCCCGTTTCATTCTAACTAATGAGATTTTGCTTTGCTATTTTATGGAATGGGATTGAAGCAGGTTTCGTACTTGTTTCAAATAAATGTCTAGATATGTATTATATGGCGCTATTTAATATTTTCATAACATTAAACTATATAATATGCTGTTGCACGGTACAGGTTCGTAGTTTTCGTTTTACATAGATAGGCCTGATGATCAAGAAAACTTGAAAATTTTATTGAGAAAAATCAACAGTTTTCACAGCTCTAATGAGGCCGAAGAAAATCAAAAATATAATATAAAGCAAAATTTGCCTTCAGGCTTGAGGAACATCGCTGTTTCTCAAAACTGCAAACAACGCAAACTCTAAAACTGTCAAAGCAATCAAGAGAGAGAAAGCTCAGGCAACACTATTTATAGTGTTGATCAAAAGGCAATCGTGTGTATGTGGGAGGTGTTCACTTAACTAACAAATATTCAGCCATATACGCGTGTTATTCTACACCTAGTCCGATAGCAAAAGAGGGCGTCTAACGAATCGATTATGTAATAAGTTTGAGATACTGTGTTCGCAGCGCAGAAAGATGTCAAATTTACTCGAGTCAGAGATACCTGATTTCGACGTGATCGGTTTCGCGGTCTAGCTACGGTGCTCAGGTTCTCAGACTATTATTCATCGTCATTATTACCTGAGAAGATTAAGAGCAATTTGGTCATCAAACCAGTTATAGACAAAGCCATGAGCCTACCCAGGTCTCATAACAAGCAGTAGGGAACCAACACAGGCGCCGCTGCATTCGTGACCATAGGAAAAGATTAGCTGTTCTGTTGTCGCTCCTCCTATACGGTCAAGTACTTTTACCACAGTAGCGCTAAACAGGCACTCATCCTTTAATGGCGACACACATGCGAACCATGCAGTATATGTGGTAAAATTTGCCAACAACTTTTATAGTAAAATTTCCCTTGTAAACAATACATCTGTACCAGAAATCAAATATGGCCTGTCTCAGAATGAAAAGAGAAGGCCTGGAGTCATCCTACGAAATCTGATTACTTTTTTATTTGTATTAATGTATTTCACTTTCCTTCCTCCAATTCCATCTTTCGGCTATCCCTTCTCTGAACTGTATGGCTCCTGAACTGAGTCTTATCCCCTTCCCCGTCCTTAACCCTGACTATTATGTAATTTCTTTCGTTCATCATTTAACCATATTTTGTGTGCTTTATTATTATACTATCTTAGTAATTTTTCGAGTGTTACCTTTGCTTGAGTTACAAACATTTGAACGTATATGCCCCCATCTACCCGGCAAAGTGAATTTATTCCTGTGCTCATCCTGTAATGCTGCAATATTCGATTGCAAAATACCTGAGCGAGTGAACCAAATGAACACGTAAAAGCTGATTAATAAATGTACTTGAGGATGCATTATTATTATCATATTTCAGTGAATCAACGATATTATTTCTCAGGAGAGTTTCATCGTAATAAATGTTACTAAGCCTGGAGAGGGCAGGCGCCTGATTCGAGACTAGCAGTGATCAAAAGCAACCTCTCTAGTATCGAATCACGTTTCATCCTAAGATGCTGCATTTTCCTCCAAAAGCGAATGGAGCAGTTTAAATATATTACGTATAGAGTAACTTAAGTATATAATTTTTTAGCAGGTATATGAGACGAAAATGAAGTTCTGTAAGAAGATAGTTAAATACTAATTTTCTTATGCACATAGTTAAGAAGGAGATAAATCTAATTGTCTAAATAAATCCACAAATATTTAATACTAGATATAGATTTTATAATTTAATCCACCAATTTCAATCTGGCCAAAGGGGACGAAATCGTTTACCGTCTCCCGGATAGAAAATACAATTAGTCTTGGAAATATTCATCGTTAGACTCTCTTTTCCCGTAGCATTCATTTAAATAATCAGAAATAACAAAGGAATGAGCAATCATTTCTGGAATCTACTGAAGTATCGTAACGAAGATTTGATTTCTGGAAATTTCCAGAACGTCGCATGGCTGGCAAGACATTAATGCCGCAAACTTGGTGACGAAAATGAGGGTTTCTACTGATGTTTCTGGCTGTAATTTAGGTGTCCTTATAACACTATCGTCATTAAATTATGAATAAAAGCTCTACAATATAATGTACGTTATAAATGCAAAGGAACTCAAAACATGATCAAGAATTAAAATTTAAATAAAATATACAATAAAAATGCATAAAAATGCTCTACAGAATGAAATAAAATATTACAAATGCAAATGAAAACGACATATAATACTGAAAAATACACAAACATTAAATTACGATCAAGTAATTAAGTATTTAAAAAACTTACAGTAATCTAATATATAGCGCGTCATAATATACATTTTTAGTACAAAATATTCAACTCTAATTCCAGTGCACAGTATGCTTACATTATTATGCTTCACAGAAAAACAGATAAATAAAACCTAATCATTTATAAAAGAATGTTTAGTAACTTATTTGCACATTTTCATCATTTATAACTGTGTTGACCAGCGCTGGTTACATAAACGATTGAAGGCTTAACGCTTGATTTAGTAATTATTCTCTTAAAAATATTAATTAAAAACGTGAACTTAAGGAGCCTAAAACATTTTGCTGAATTTTATGCACTATTAGATTATTCTTATCAATATAAATGATTCTAATTGATTTTAATTATTATTATTCCAGCCACAATCCTCTCAGCAATAAATAACTTCAATGGACAAAATACTCGTACCTTTTCCCGGCATCCTCTTACGCTTCCAATGGGTAATTAACCCATCCTTATTTATACGCGTCCCATTAACCTGTCCGGATGAAACGGATTACAGGTTAAACCTTAACGACGTTTTAACGGGAAGGCCGTTACTGCGGTGGATCCTACAAATAACCACACAGGATTAAATCACGTGTGTGCCGTGGTGGCGGTTGTATTACCGATTCCCATTGTTATGCAAATGACGGAGTCCTAGATGGAAAGGAATGGCACGTAGCTGTTTCCCTGCTGTAGCAGGGATTTGTTTCGGGAAAATATGTCGACGTTAAAAATGTTTATAGTGGAGTCTTTTCAAAACGTTTGGTTTTTCTGTTAAGTCACTGTATCAACACTGTCTTTCAGGCGATCTAGCATATGTTGCATTGCACAAAACATGCAGGTTTAATTCCTCTTTCTGACGGCTTGACAATTGGCCAGTTTTCAGTCGTATTCGTTTGACGTTCCATATCATCTTTATATTTCAAATTATAACTGGAACTGCTTGAAAAAAACTCAGTTATTTAAAAACAGCAGAAGAATATTTTAATCTTCTGTTTGTGATTACATCATATTCATCTTTCTAAACTAAATAAAAATCAAGCATGTTTCTTAATTTGTTTAGGTGCTTTTTCTTTTTTATTTTTGATTTGAAGAATACATAATAGTCAAGCATATTACATTTAGTTTAATTAATTTTCACTAATGTGCGGGTAAAACTATTTGTTTGATATTAACTGAATAAAAGTTGGCTACCTTACTGTACGATATCTGCATTTACCATCCGCATGGCTTAACACTATTCAAAATTGTGTGAAATTTAAGATCTTTATAATAAGAGAAACGGAGGGGGTCGATAAAAATAATAATAAGTTTAAAAGGCATAAAGTTAAAAACATGCATAAATTAAAGCATAAAGTTAAAAACATGGCGTTGACTACAGTTTTCTCGAAGCTACGTAAAATTTAAGAAGCATTGCTATTGCGTTGAATTCAAACTGCAATGCTCGGTAAAAAAAAGAACCGCGGTGTTTGGGCTAGACATTTTCACTATCATTGGAAGAGACGAAATACTAAGTCATGAGGGGCTTTATTATGCGTACGTATATCGGAAGCTTCTAAGAATTTTCTCACACCTGTTCTTACCAACATGTATATTTCTTAGAAGCTCCCAAAGTTCTCTTATGCAGGAATCTCGTTAATGACGCAGTTTCCATTCCATTTATGTCGAAGACATTGCTTCAAGTTCCACATTTTCTTTTTACCAAGCTGTCCAGTTTCCACTTGAGACTTGCAACGTCTGTTATATTCACCGCAATAGCAGTGCTTTGATAAAGTTTCACTGAGTTCCAACGAAACTAGTTAAGAATACGTTTCCTAACGTGAACTTTTTAACGTACGTTCCTCCATGGTGGTCAGTGGAAAGGAACTATTAAGCCCCGTTCACATGCAACGCTCCTTCGCACAGCTGCCGTTAGCAAGGGGAGAAAAAGGAGACATGAAAGAGTTTCGTCTTTAGGACCCGTTCAGAAGACCACCGCCTTCCTTCCCCTTACACCTAAAGCCTCTCTGAACAATCGCGTCTCCGAATTGGCAGATTTCTAATACTGTTTACACATTTTTAACGTGGTTTACTGTTGTTAATTTTCTAA